TATCTACATCAAGTGGTGTCCGTCAGGGATGTCCACTTTCTCCATTCTTGTTTAATTTTATCATAGACATGCTCCTAGACATAACATTATCCTCGTCTGAATTTTCAGGAGTAGACCTTCTTCCAGGTGGCTCGCTTATTGACTTAGAATATGCCGATGACATAGTCCTACTTGGTGAAGACGCTGACAAAATGCAGAGTCTTCTGACTACCCTAAGCAACAATGCAAGCATGTTCGGGATGCGGTTTTCCCCCTCGAAATGCAAAATGTTGCTTCAAGACTGGGTTGCATCGGCACCTGAACTAGTGATAGGGAGTGAAGTGGTTGAACGTGTAGACCGCTTCACTTATCTTGGGAGTCTCATCAGTGCCGATGGCCTGGTGACTGACGAAATCTCAGCTCGGATACAGAAGGCTCGATTGGCTTTTGCCAACCTGCGTCACTTATGGCGTAGGCGAGATATGCGTTTGTTGACTAAAGGACGAGTGTACTGCGCGGTAGTTCGCTCCGTCTTACTTTATGGCTGTGAAACATGGCCAGTGAGAGTAGAAGATATTCGTAGGTTACTGGTTTTCGATCATAGGTGTCTTCGAAGCATTGCTCGTATATCGTGGGACACCCGAGTGAGCAACGCTGTTATTAGGAATCGGGTGCTAGGTAAGAATGGCAGATCAATCGATGAAGTATTGAAACTTCACCAGTTGAGGTGGTTGGGACATGTGTTGCGTATGCCCAACCACCGACTGCCTCGAAGAGCTTTGTTTTGTAGTGTAGGAGTAGTTTGGAAGAAAGTTAGGGGCGGCCAAACCAAAACATGGCAGAAATCGATGAAGTCATTGACTAGTGGACTGAGCCATGTCGGTAATTGTCGACTACCTGGTTGGGGTCCGCTAGATGATAATAATCGATGGTTAGAGACCTTGAATGACATGGCTCAAAATCGTTCGCAATGGCGCCAGTGCATTTATTCTCTGTGTTCTCTCAAATGCTAATCTTCTGGATTCTTCAACACCTCTAGTTTCGACTCTCTAAACTTTTCTCACTGAATCATTCCTCTTGAGTAGTATCTTCTAATCCTAACCTCTCCGATTATTTCTAATTCCCTTACTACCTCTTCTACTATTGGATTTGAATTGACGATTACTTCTCTGTGCTGATGTGGTATGGCAACATGAACTGATGTACTTATGTACAAAGTTCTACGTTGCATCTGACTGACTGACTGATGGCAGATCGTGCCAGTTTATGAGAAGGAACAAAAATCTTTTGATAAACTCAGAGAAATCAGTTTAACCAATATAATATTTAATATATTAACCTCAATAATCACTCATTACCAGACTAGCGCTCATCAATAACAAAGCCGGTTAATTTCAGACATTGACGTGAATGTATCGATCAAATATTTACCATTGTGGAACACAAATATACCTGCCGACTCCCGACTATGGTGGTATTTCTCGGCCCTGTTGACGGACAGACTCTATAACAGCGCTACTGGAAGACCTACGGAAGAAGTTTGTCAGTCTTTTACATGCTCTCCTCTCGAAAACTGCTGGTCCGTCCACTATCTCCATTTTAACTTAACTGTTATAGACACTTAGTGGGAGGGGTTAGTTTACCAAGAAATTCACTTGTTAACTTAGCATGCAGAAGTTACATGGTTATGCTTGGTTACGACACACATAACTCAGTAGTCTGATTGCTTTAAACAATAATAATTTAAGCATGTTTAGGATGTATTTCTCTCTTTCTAAGTATAAACTGTCGTTTCAGGACCAGTCTTTGGCAACCATTAAACTAATAACAGGACGTCAAATAATAATTGGGCATATTCACAACTTATTGTGGAAGCCAGTCCTAATAGATTAGTCTCTAACCAAATCTCGGCATAGATTCAGGAAGTTCCATTGACGCTTACTAACTTTCATCACATGTGGTGTAGTCTGAATGTCTGTCTCTCCACCAGAGGATAAGTATACTGGGAAACAGTTCGACCTTAGTTATGTCTGTGAAACATGTCCTTTAAAAATAAAGAATATTCATGAGTTATTAGTAGTCGATCGTAGATAACTTCAAAGCGTAGTGTATGTATTTTGAGATCATCTAGTGATCAATGTAGAGATTAAAATAAAGTACTAGGCAAATATGACAAATCGGTTGATGAATTTGTAAATTTTTATTGACTACAATGACTGGAGTATATGTAACCCAGTCTTGGGTTGCATCGGCACCTTAACTAGTGATAGGGAGTGAAGTAGTCGAACGTGTAGACCGCTTCACTTATCTGGGGAGTCTGATCAGTGCTGATAGCCTGGTGACTGACGAAATGTCAGCGCGGATACAGAAAGCTCGATTGGCTTTTGCCAACCTGCGTCACTTATGGCGTATGCGTGATATCCGTTCGCTAACAAAAGGGCGGGTGTACTGCGCAGCAGTTCGCTCCATTCTCCTATATGGATGTGAAACATGGCCGTTAAGAGTAGAAGATATTCGTAGGTTATTGGTTTCCGATCATAGGTGTCTTAGAGGCATTGCTCGTATATCGTGGGACACTCAAGTGAGCAACGCTGTTATTAGGAGACGGGTGCTAGGTAAGAATGGCAGATCAATAGATGAAGCATTGGAACTTCATCAGTTGAGGTGGTTGGGACATGTGTTGCGTATGCCGAACCACCGACTGCCTCGACGAGCTATGTTTTGTGGTGTAGGTGTAGATTGGAAGAAAGCTAGGGGCGGCCAAACCAAAACATGGCAGAAATCCATGAAATCACTGACAAGCGGACTGAGTCATGTTGGTAGATTTAGACTACCTGGTTGGTGTCCGCAAGACGATAGTCACCAATGGTTAGAGACCTTAAACGATATGGCTCAAAATCGTTTGCAATGGCGTAAGTGTATCCATTCTTTGAGCTCTCTCAAATCCTAATCTTCTGGATTCGTCAGCACCTCTGCCTTTGTCTTTCTAACCTTATCTCACTGAATTATACTTCTTGAATAATATCTTCAAACCCTAGTCTTCTTCAATACCATTAATACCTCTACTATCTTTATGACTAAGGGATTTGATTTAACATTTGCGTCTCTGTGCTAATGTGGTATGGCAACATGAACTTATATACATACGTACGAAGTTCTGTGTTGCAACTGACTGACTGACTCAAGCAACAATGTTGACTGATACTGCAGTGTATCAGAGTGGCCAAAACAAAATGTAGCATTAACCCTTTTCTTTTCTATTACCATTGATACTGGAATTTGTGTTCATTATTTCAGTTCACTGTGTTCATTTTAATATGGCGAATTAAACCAATGCAGCAAACATTATTCGCAGATTCTACGTTACTTATGACTGACCTACTGACCTTCAATTACAGAATGGAGAGATCCAAAAAGTTACTCATTGTTATTTCTTATACTCATCTAATCACTATTAACCTTTAGTTGAACTTAAGGTGATGAAAATATCTCTTGTATGTAAATTTAAATACCGATATTTGTCTTAATCATATTTTAAGGTAGTTAGTTTTCTTCTACTTATAAATAAGCTTTGTATGCACCCTGTATTGATATTAAGTATTCTTATTGTTAGTCTAAAAAAAAAAACTTTCACATAGTATTATTTGTTATTACCTAACTCCATGACCTCTAAGGTCAAGTAAACAACTAAATTTTTCATTGAAATATTTTCTTAAAATGAGTGTATTGTTTATTGAAAGTAAAACAGTTAGTTATCAGATTGTACCTTGAATTGCATGGGTGGTAACATTTAGATTATAACCGAAAGTGATCTGTTAGTTGAGGGTTTACTGTGATCTAATGATCCTACGTGTCAGTCAGTCAGTCAGGTACAACGTAGAACATCGTACGTACGTACATCAGTTCAAGTTGCCATATCACATTAGCACAGACGCAATTGTAGTAGAGGTAGTGTGGAAGTATTAGCGGTAATAACCAAAAGGATTAATGATCGAATATATCATTCGGCACTGTATGGAGCGGAAACTTGGAGAACTAACAAAGCCATCATCCAGAAGACACAAGTGTTTATTAGCAGTTGTCTACGCAAAATACTTCAGATTCGTTGGCGAGACACCATCAGCAACAACGTACTGTGGGAGAGAACAAACCAGATCCCAGTGGAGGAGGAAATCAGGAAGAAGAGGTGGAAGTGGATAGGACACACACTACGAAAAGCTCCTAACTGCGTCACGAGACAAGCCCTCACATGGAACCCTCAAGGCAAAAGGAAAAGAGGAAGGCCAAAGAATACATTACGCCGAGAAATAGAGAAAGATATGAGAGGAATGAACAAACATTGGACAGAACTGGAGAGGGAAGCCCAGGACAGAGTTGGTTGGAGAAAACTGGTGGGCGGCCTATGCTCGATTGGGGCTGACAGGTGTAAGTAAGTAAGTAATATCATTCGGTATGTATACTCCATACGAATGGTCATGAGGAATTCAGAAGATTATGATTTGAAAGAGCAGAAAAAATGGATTCTCTAACCATCGATTACTATTATCACGCGAACCCCAACCAGGTAGTCGACATTTACCAACATGACTCAACCCAGTTGTCCGTGACTTTATGGATTTGTGCTATGTTTTGGTCTGGCCACCCATAGCTCTCTTCCAACCTACTCCTACACCGCAAAACATGACTCGACGAGGGTGTATAGGTAGGTATACAATACTGATGATTAGCCACACACACACACACACACCAGGATGAAACACTTACTCAGTGTACACCGGTACCCCCAACTGATCCTGATTCATAAACAAAAATCGTCCTTAAATTACCTACGTGTTTATCTTGTGTCATTGATTTTCATTTGTGTATATATATTCTTTTTCTTTACTTTGTTAGAATCAACAAAAATTAGGCATTGGAACCAATACATCACAATACACTACTAATCTTCAAGCATTACCAAGTGGAATGGCTGTTGCCCGTTTACCAAATGGAACCTATGCTACAGTATCACTTAATTCTTCTTCTATTGGCATATCAGGTTCATCACCATCTGTATTTGTAAATAATAATGCTTGTGGTGTTTCATCTACTATACCAACTAATTCAAGCGATACTTCAGCTGCAACTGCATCAAAACGTAATGCTTCTAATTCACGTACTCGATCAAAATTAACTACTGGTTCACCACCACCACCACCTGCTGATACTGATGTACTACGTCGTTTAGATGATCAAATCAATGCATTACAACGTTTAACTGCACCTACAGAAATGCAATTAAATAGATTGAAACAACTTGTTGAAGTGAAACATCAGCTGACAAAAGTGTCTAACATCACAACTGCCAATTCTCTTAATCCATTAGCTCCTCGTAGTATGGTAACATCGAACGCAGTTATAAATACTTCAGCTTGTCGTAATCCTACTCCTGGATGTCCACAGATTACTCCAAATGTGGTAAGATTTTATTGAAATAAAACTAAGATATCCTCTGTTTAATATGAGTAATAAACATACCTGCCTACCTCTCCTCTACAGGTGATGTTGTCTGGTGTAAGAGCTGAATAGGAAGAAGCTAGAGACAACCAAATCAAGACATGATACCAGTGAGCCATATTAATAGGTGTAGACTAACTGGTAATATGTTAGGATATTCATCCAATATCCTAAGAGAATTATTGGTCAATTCTTACTAGTCAATTTTATGGTCGTTCTAGATATCAACGTCACGTCTCCAATATTGTTTCTTATTGGTCGTCTTAACTATCAATGTCACAGGCTTCCATGCTGTTTCTCATTCGACCAAAATGTATATATACGCATTATCTGTAACATTTTATGACCAGGACCAGGACCCGGTCCCGGGTCCCTAGTCCGCGATCCTGATTCTCTTCTTGATTCGGACCTCATACTTTCTGGATGCTTGTTGAATAGAGGTTCTACTTCATATCAAGTCTTCTTATTTTTACTAAATATGGTGGTTGGGATATTCGGATTTCAGTAGCATGTCGTGTCACCAGATCCTCGATCCTCGCTCTTTTTTCGACTACGTAAACTCGTAATAGTTGAAGCATATCAGATTGACGTGTTTACGTGCAGGCGTAACATAATATGACTCAGAATCGTTTGCAGTGGCGCATGTGCATTCACTCTTTGTCTTATCATAGAACTTGTGTCCCGAAATCTTTTTATACTTTTATTTCATTGTCTACACCTAAAACTTTTTTTCTATTGTTGCTACTCCTCCCTTCATTATTTCAATTGTCTGAGTTGAGAGTAGATCACAATCCTGATTTTTGAAGATAGGCTCACAAACATTTGATGCCTGAGAAGTTATTTGTTGTTGTTACAGTATGTGAACAGTCAGTCAGTCAGTTACAACGTACAACTTCGTACACGAGTACATAAGTTCAGGTTGCCATACTCCATCAGCACACAGACGCAACTGTCAGTTCAAATCCCATAGTGGTAGCGATAGTAGAAGTATTAGCAGTAATGTAGAAGATTAGGGTTCGAAGACATGATTCGAGAAGTATAATTCAGTGAAGTAACTTTAGAAAGAGAAAGATAGAGATTATGTGGGATTCATAAGATTAAAAATTTCCGAGAACACAAAGAGTGGATGCACATGCGCCAGGTGAACTGTGGTGTTTCTATGGGGGACATATCGAAGAAACATTCTTGAAAATATTTTAGCATATTTACACTTCAGCTTTACAAAATAGAATTTATTAAGGAAGTGATGTTGATTGACCTAAACCATTTTTACTACTGTTTCTACTCCTGCTTTACTAGAGTTTGTCTTGAAATTACTTTATCTCATTGTACTGTGGTGCGGAAACTTGAACCGATGCATATATGTGTCAGGTTCTACGTTGTATATAATCTTGAATTTGAAAATATAGAACAGAGGAGTTACAGAATTCCGCTCAAAATATCTATAAAAGAGAACAAGACAATGAATCAGCGTCCAGGTAGGCTACTCTGATCCGTTGCCCCAAACTAACTGACGGAAAAGTCTTGATATAGCTTAGAAAGTGTATTCTACCAACATCCAGCAAACACAATGATCTCAAGCACACAAATCGCGTTTATTTATACATGATAGAAACGTCCTTGAGCGAGTCACGAAGATAGTGTAATAAAATCACATGTCGGCCAATCACAGCCAAGGATTTTCCTGATGGGAAATGTGATCTCAAGGTCAACTGATCAGCCCATGAATAAAATCCAAAATTAAGACGAGTTCTGGGGATCTAATGTCCCCAACACATCATATGACTGATCAATAGAACAATGACCTCATAAATTAATATCATATATTGCTTTCATCATTTCAAACGTATAACTTACTCCTGTATCAGTCAACATTGTCCGTCGAATAAGGGGTTGCTTGAACATAATACACATAACATATATTCCAGTCATTGGTGGTAGTCAATGAAAATTTATAAATTCATCAACCGATTCGCCACATCCGTCACTCCATAGTCTATCTACGATCGACTACTGGTAACCGATGAATATTCTTTATTTCCGAAGGTCATGTTTCACTGATAAAAAAATCCCTACTTTTAGTTTATAAACGGGAATTAAATCACCATCTATAACTATTGACCAAAACATGGAAGAAATCCATGAAGTCACTGACAAGTGGACTGATTCATGTTGATAGATGTAGGCTACGTGGTTGGGGTCTGCGAGACGAAAGTCACCAATGGTTAGAGACCTTGAACGACATGGCTCGGAATCGTTTGCAATGGCGCAGGTGCATCCACTCTTTATGTGCTTTTTAATTCTAACCTTCTGAATCCCTCATCATCTCTATCTTTCTTCTTCTAAATTTATCTCACTGAATTATACTTCTCGAATCTTTGCTCCGTAGTCTTCTCCATTACTGCTAATAATTCTACTATCACTATCACTCTTGGATTTGAACTGACAGTTACGTCTCTGTACTGATCTGGTATGGCAACCTAAACTGATGTACTCATGTACGAAGTTCTGCGTTGTATCTGTCTGTCTGTCTATCTAAAACTATTATTCTAGTTATGAATCAATAATACACTTATCCTCTTTCAATATTCATAGCGTGTTTGCATTTTTATATTTGTTCATATTTCAATGGTAAAAATGATCATCCCATAATGTGAAAGTATATTGTGTCTGATAATATAACCAAGGTATATTAGATTTATTGAAAAAAATCTCTATTTTTTTTTTACTAACAATTATATTCTTTAGCGTCGTGAAATTTTAGATTTACTTTCCCAGCACAAATTATTACCCCAACCTATTGGATCTAATAACAACAGTGAAGAAACATTCATAGTAGAATTTCGATTAAATCAACAAAGATATCAACTTCGATTAACACGCAATCAAAAAGTTGATATGGAACGTTTATTGTTTACTACTACTCCACAAAGACAAGCTGAAATGTTAACTGTTTTACAACAAGAACAAATTCGTCTCCTGGGTTCAACGCCACGAACTAATAAATTGCCGATTTCATCAAATCAAAATAATAATCCCGTGATGACCACAACACCATCAGTTGTTGGATTTAGTATTGCTTCACAACAATCTGTACGATTACCGACTGGAATGTCAACATTTACAGCTGCTCCTATGCATACTTTTCATGGTACATCTGGTTTACGATTGGTTACAGCTCGTCCAGTTGTACCGCCGAATGCTGCTATATCAGCAGGGCCTATGGTTCGATCGAATATCCCGCCAGTATGTTCATCAACTCCAGTTGTTGGTGTTGTTACAGCTTTAGCTGTACCGTCTATAGGAACTTGTGTTACTAATCCAAGTAAGAGATATCAATCATCATTATGAAAATTACAATAATTTTTATGATAGTAGTTTTATATATATTATATTTAATCAGAGAACAGACAATGGTGACCGTCTGTTGCAAGTATGCTCAGACAACCGCCTATTGTTAGCAAACACTAACTTTAGGCATAAGGAAAAGCATCTGTTGACTTGGCGACCTCCAAAGTCGTCTCAACGTTGGACGCAACTAGATCATATCGCCATCAGCCACCGATGGAGGGGTTCGATAGAGGACTGTCGCTCGTTCTGGGGCACATGCCTAGATTCAGATCATGCCCTAGTGCGAGCGCGTATTTGTTTGAAGCTTACTGGGCGTAGGAAAAACACCGTAAGAAAGACTCTTAGGGTTTTACTTAATGATAATAGGGCGAAAAATATATTTCAGGAACAACTAGAAAGACAGTTAGGCGACCATTTAAGCGATTCCCATCCTGAAGCAGGTTGGAATGATATCAAAAAGGCTGTGGAAACAGCAGTGATATCTGCTAGTAAGGTTGACCAAAAGGCTAGAATGAAGCCATGGATCTCAGTAGCATCCACCGATCTGATAGATGCCCGAAAACTCATCCCACCTGACTCTGAACATGATGAAGAACGAAGTCAACTTAGGCGCAGACTTATAAAAAGCCTACGTAACGATCGCGAACAGTGGTGGGTGGCGAAGGCAAAAGTGATGGAAAAGGCAGCGACGATCGGTAACAGTAGACAACTTTTCCGCCTTATCAAGAAACTGGTATTAGGAATCCTAGTGTAAGTGAGACTATCTCAGAATATGACGGGACTATTATTTATTCTCAATTCAGGAGACTAGATCGATGGGCAGAACACTTTAGGGATCAGTTCAACTGGCCTCGAGCCACTCTTCGGTTACCCACGATCTCCAGTCATCCTGAATGGCAAATCGACGTAAGTCCCCCTAGTCTTAATGAAGTTGAAAAAGCGTTAGGAAATCAAGCGAGAGCGAGCTGCAGGTCCTGATAGACTGACCCCTGAGATATTTAAGGATGGTGGTCCAGTTTTAGCAACTAGGTTGACTGAGATCTTAGGTAGAATCTGGGAACTGGACGTAATCCCATCCGACTGGTCTCAATCACTGATTGTCCCAATCTATAAGAAAGGACAGAAGTCTTCTTGTGACAATCACAGGGGAATAAGTCTAACTAATATAGTATCTAAAATATTGGCCTCAATAATACTTCGACGCTTAACGAAATCTCGTGAAGAGCAGACTCGAGAAAACCAGGCTGGTTTTCGACCTGGACGTGGTTGTATAGACCACATTTTCACACTACGACAGGTCCTGGAACACAGACACACATTTAGGCGTCCTACAATAGTTTTTTTCGTGGACCTAAAAGCGGTATTTGATTCAGTGGATCGTGAGGTTCTGTGGCAGTGTCTGTCATTGAAAGGTGTACCAAAAAAGTACATTAACCTTATACAAGCTCTCTACTCGAACACCACTGGTCGAGTGAGAGCTTATGGCGAACTGTCACCGGAATTCTTTACTTCAAGTGGTGTCCGTCAGGGATGTTTGGGGTCCGCGAGATGATAATAATCGATGGTTAGAGACCTTGAATGACATGGCTCAAAATCGTTCGCAATGGTGCCGGTGCATTTATTCTTTGTGTTCTCTCAAATCCTAACCTTCTGGGTTCTTCAACAACTCTAGTTTTGACTTTCTAAACTTTTCTCATTAAATCATACTTTTTGAATAATATCTTCTAATCCTAACCTCTCCGATTACTTCGAATACCCTTACTAACTCTTCTACTATTGGATTTGAAACGACAGTTACATCTCTGTGCTGATGTGGTATGGCGACATGAAATGATGTACTTACGTACGAAGTTCTACGTTGCAACTGACTGACTGATATTCTATTTAAAATCGACCAGTCATGCAGTGTATATTTACCAGAATGACCTGACAAAACTTTGAACTATTAAGATTAGTGATGATGAAAGATTTAATTGCGAACAAAATGATCTCGAATGCTATTCTCAAGGTATGATGAGTGCGGTTGCCACTTTCTGGATGCACATGCCGTTGGAGGATGCTTCATCTTGAAATACCTGAAAATGTGAAACAGTATTGTCCATGATCCTAGTGGCTACAGAGCCCAAGGGGCAGCTTCATAAGGCCGGTTATACACAACCTTTTTGTGAGATTTTAGTGTATTAACTCATTACCTTAAACATAGTACTGTCAGAGACGGAAATTCATGGGAGAAGGTGAGGTTTGATATTTTTAAGGCTGGTATTTCTTCAGGCCACTCTTCACTTGTGAAAAGACAGTCTGGTCGTGTGAGAGAAACACTTTACTGTTATAACAGTACAATTTTAAAGGTAATGAGTTAATACACTAAAATCTTACAAAAAGGTGTCATGTGTTGCGTATGCCTAACCACCGACTGCCTCGACTTGCTTTGTTTTGTAGTGTAGGAATAGGTTGGAAGAAAGTTAGGGGCGGCCAAACCAAAACATGGCACAAATCCATGAAGTCATTGACAAGTGGACTTAGCCATGTCGGTATATGTCGACTACCTGGTTGGGGTCCGCGAGATGATAATAATCGATGGTTAGAGACCTTGAATGACATGGCTCAAAATCGTTCGCAATGGCGCCGGTGCATTTATTATTTGTGTTCTCTCAAATCCTAACCTTCTGGGTTCTTCAACAACTCTAGTTTTGACTTTCTAAACTTATCTCACTGAATCATACTTCTTGAATAATATCTTCTAATCCTAACCTCTCCGACTACTTCTAATACCTTTACTACCTCTTCTACTATTATTGGATTTGAATTGACGATTACTTCTCTGTGCTGATGTGGTATGGCGACATGAACTGATGTACTTACGTACGAAGTTCTACGTTGCATCTGACTGACTGACTGACCCTTGCACAGTCAGTAGTACCACTTCTGCCTCAAACATAAAGTTTCTGTTTTTCATCTTACAGTTTTCCAACAGACCTACTAGGTTCAGCGACAATACAGCTAGGTTGGATTATCACGATAGACAACCTCAATCGTCGCGTCAGGGCATCAGCTACGATTGGGTGATTATGATCCGAAGAGAGAATAACAGTTAACCTACTCTACAGTTTTAAAAACGTCGATATAATAATAATAATAATGTTAATAAAAGTTATTAATTCAACATGTCAAGTATGGTTGTTTTTTTAATAGAGCAAACGAAATCGGGCAATAGTCAACATTTAAGCCATAAAAAATAATAGAGATGAAAAGCAAATAAATTTACGTCATTTTACAATTGACTTTTTAAACCTTCAACCAGAAATTTTTACATATATTTTGATACCAGTTCAGTCAAATCAATAAATGCTATTGCAAACTAACTAACTTCATTCATGTCATTTGTCACTACTACGCTTTTATAATCTTAGTTCGATGATTGACTTCCATGCCTAACAGTAACAGTAGCAGTGTGGTGTGTGCTACTTATACGAACGATATAAGTAGTATAAAAAGGGACGTGAAAGAAGAAGAATTCGCACGGTCAGAAGAGGAAAACGGAAAGCAAATGGAGCAAAAGCAAGAAGTAAATGGAGTAGTACCAACAGGAAGGAATGGAAGAAGGCTGGAGCTTTGGAAGTCACGACTCAAAGATGGTGTGCAAATAGAATATTCAATGTAATGTTTTCGTTTTTAATTGACTCAGAGTGTAAATTTGCATGGTACAATCTTCCTCGCCTGCCTCAGTCTTGTCAGCAGAATCAGCAGAGGCATTACACATTGAAATAAGTAATATTTACGCAAACATGCCTAAAATTTGTCCTGCTTCAGCGGATTACGATTCGTAAATAATGACTGACATACTATATATATGTATATCTATCTAAAACTCTATACTTTTTCTAAACAAAAATTTCCTCTTGTCTCACTTCATTCAATGGTATTAATTAGTTTTCATTGTTTTTTCTCGTCTCCAGTGTTTGCACCTGCCTTATCACTGAACTCGAGCAGCACTCCAGTTAATATTCCTACAGTTTCATCTAGTCTTTCAATATCTTCAACAATGATGTCTACTATCAATGCAACAAGTGGTTTATTAACAACAATACCTACAAATTCAACTGCACAAAGTTATATTTTATCAAATTCCAATGTAGTCAATTCCACTGGTACTACAATTCTTACATCGAATACTGCTAGTGGATTTTGTGTACAGTCTGGTTCATCATTTACAACATTACCGCCTGAATCTACAATTAATTTGATTAATCCTATACGACCGGTAGCATTGAATATTCAACAAGTAAGTTGTTTGTCAGTCTGTATGTTATCACTGTTTTTTTTGTTTAGTAGCTCTGTCTCTCTCTCTCCGAATAAACAACTGTCTTCCTGCTCCAACTTCCAATTATGTGAATAGTCTATTAAGAGACTGTCGCTCATTCAGGAGCACTTGTTCAGACAGATCACGCTCTAGTACGAGAACGTATTTGTCTGCGTCTTACTGGACGTAGGAAATACACTGCAAGGAAACTTCTTAGGGTTTTTTTTACTTGATGATAGCAAAGCTAAGAATATATTTCGGGCTCTGACAGATTGACTCCTAAAATTTTTAAGAATAGTGGTTACTATATGTCAGTTACTTCTGTCAAAAATAACCTACATTGTATTTCGTAACGTTCAATCTTGTGTAGGTGAGTGCATGTAGCCTGTGGTAGTGTGATCCAGCTGCTTGTTGTCCAAAAAGATTAGGGTTCGAAGAAACTATTCAAGTGTAATTCAGTGAAATAAATTTAAGAAGAGAAAGAAAGTCATGAGAGAAGACGTAGAATCAATCGATGCACCTGCTCCATTAGAAACAATTTTGAGGCATATCATTCAAAGTCTCTAACCATCGGTTATTATCGTCTCGCGGACCACAACTAGGTATTCTACATCTACCAACATGACTCAGTCCACTTGTCAGTGACTTCATGGATTTGTGCCATGTTTCGGTTTAGCCACCCCTCGTTTTCTTCAAACCTACTTCTACACCACAGAACATAGCTTGACAGGGCATTCGGTGGTTGGACATATGTAACACAAGTTCCAATCACCTCAACTGACGAAGTTTCAATACTTCATCTGTTAATCTACCATCCTTACCTAATATTCGTTTGCTAACTACAGCACCGCTTATCCGGTGGTCCCAGGATGTACAAGCAATGCATAGAAGACACCTGTGATCGAACACTAGTAGCCTATGAATATCCTCTACTCTTACTGGCCATGTTTTACAGTTATATAGTAGGATGAATAGAACTGCTGCTCAATAGACTCTTGATATTAAAAACCGCAACATCTAGTTTAGAGCGGGGTTTCGGACTATCAAGGATAGTGTTTCGTGTATTCGAATCGTTTGTATCGATGATGCCAGATGATAAAAGGATTTAAAAAGATTTAGTCGCGGAGTTAAGAGAGTTATTAAGACGTATAGAAAGGATTTTATTATGACTAGTTTGATCTTATGTTCTCTTAAGGGTATGAGGGCGGACGTCACTTCCCAGTTGCCCATACCATGGAAGGGTGTATCTTGAGAAGCTCGAAAAAGAAATTGGATTAGCGTTGTTCCTAGCAACTTCGGAGCGTTCGTTATTAGAATCTACTGTAGATCAACTGGAAACCCCTATTCCCTTATTCAAGATTCAACAATTTTGATGGAGAATTATGAACTTTTTGTTCTATCACTTTACTCTTATCCCTACTTTAGCTGCAAAACTTTAATTGTTTATTGAAGTAGTAGGGGTAGTATCTCTACACAATAATTATGGCTCATAGTATATTAGATAGACATATTCCTAATATTCAAGTCTTTTATTACCCTTTTCCTACAATTCACATTAAATTACCCTATTACTAGCAGGTTAAGTTAATGAAACTAGTCTTTGCTACTCGCTCTTACATGCTTATTAAGAAACTTACATTCTTACTGTATACTTTCGTATTAATTAATTTCAGGCTGCCAAAATAGGTCGACTTCGTGCTTATCTAACCAATGATCTTAGATTAGCAGTTGACAAACCGCCAACATTACAAACTAGTGATTCAACAAAATTACCGACTCCATTAGAGCTGCTTGAAGCATTGGCACCGTATCATGTACTTAACGATGCAGATAATACCAAAGAAGCTTTAGATAAAGGTTAGTTCATTTCAGTAAACATAATCATTGAAATAAATTTTGATACACACGGTACCGTTTTAATTCACTTGAACAGGAGTAACATCAAAGGTTTGAGTCAGAATAACATGAATTCATTTTGTTTCTCTTTAAGCGGCTTGCAACTAAAATCATCCATATTGTAAAGCAGCTTGATATTGTTGGGGATGTTAGATCCCCAAAACTCGCTTGTTAAATGCCTTATTTTGGATTTCGCGTTTGCCAGCATAGGCTGACCAGTTGACCTTGAGATTTCATTTCCCTCCAGAAAGATCCATGGCTGTGATTGGCTGCTGTGTATTTTAGTGTGCTATTTTCGTAACTGTCCCAAGGACGTTTCTATGATGTATAAATAGACAAGAGTTGTATGCTTGATTGTATTGTGATTGCTGGGTGTTTGTAGAATATACTTTCTACGCTTACCAAGACTTCTATTTTCAGCTTGGGATCCAAGGTAGCCTATCTGGACGCGGGTAATTGTCTCGTTCGCGTTTATCGACCAAGGTGAACTCGTAATAGCTTCAAGCGTACCTAGTGACAAACCCTACAATATAAACCATTTAAATTATAGTTGGAGAGATTTGGTTAAAATTGATTTAATATACAGGTACACATCACTAACTGATCTCATTTGGGATACCGTTGAAAACTAAAGAAAACATAGATGAATAACTGTTTCAACTGTTTGTACAACGCACAACCTTTCCAAAGGGATCGAACTCAGGATTCTCAGATATCGCTGTGTACACAGTTAGGACTAAGTGACACTATTTCAACTTTAATTAAGCTACGACATAGCCTGTCGTTTACTGAATACCGTAAGTGACAACTGTTTCACCCTCACCCCAATGTATCAAACTTTTCAGTTGAAATTGAACATCACCCTGAAGTAAATCAATAGTGAACTGATTATCATGGCTTTTTTTTCTGGTGAAGGCGTTCTGTAGACATTGGTTTAATCTATAGATTTTATTGTATTACTGTTATAATGCTGCCACGTAGCTATTCGAATCCTACCGACGTCCGAATTCAAATATTCCAATACGACCCAAATACTATTCCCCAAATCTCCTATATATCAGAACGCAACACCGTTGGATGGAGTTGTTTAATGGGTCGAGTACAGAACAGAGGTAGAAATCTTGTCTAGTCTTACAGTCTTACAGATAGTGCGTATTTATACATTTAGGTCGAATAAGAAAGAGCATCAAAGTCTGTGACATTGACAGTTTAGGACGACCAATAGGAACGAACATTTGAAATGACACTGACAGTCCGGATGACACCTTTACTTAAATAACTGTTTCATTCTAAACATTCTCTTCCAATTAATGAGACTTATATCACATGAATGAATAAATATGATTAAAAGTTCACCTCTTAACAAGCAATATGAAAGAAGTTAGAGTGTTTCATTCTTCTTCTTAAAATTGTTTCTTTGTCGAACTGAAGAAATCGAATCAAATCAACGACCTTAAGTGATGTAAATTTGGAGTCTCCCTCATATTAAAACGAAGCAACCGTCCCCAGTGCTTTCACGTTTTCAATATTTAGGGTTAGCTAAGATCACTTAATGATTTCAACTTTTGAAATAAAGATCATTAATGATGGATCACTTTACTCTTTTTTCTCTACCATTTCCTTGTTTGAATATTTACGGAAGTATTGAGCTCAATCAAACAAAAAGTTTGTTTTCTTGTGTCTCTTCTAAACTTTGTAAATTAAATCTTTACGAAACCTGGAAGCGCACTAGGCGGTCATTTAGTCCTGGTATAGGACTCATCAGCAGTGCGCATCCACGACTCCTGCTACTCATGGGACTCGAACCACGGGACGTTCTGTCTTGTGCACGAACATAATGTGCTCTCTAGTGACTAGCTTCGTTAATAAATTCTCAGAGTTCTAGTGAGAAGATGTGACGAATGGAGTTCAACCCTATCGGGTGTAGGCAATAACTATCGAAGACAAGGGGTGATGTTGTGAGAAAAACCCTAGGTTGATATCAAAGTTGGACATTAATACCGTTAGGTACCGGCCCAGTGGTCCATAGGTTTAGTGTTCGCACGTGAGACTGAAGGTCCTGGGTTCGTATCCTGTCCTGTGAGTAGCAGTAGTCATGAATGTGCACTACTGATGAGTTCCATACCAGGACTTGATGGGTGTCCAGTGCTTCAAGGTCTGTCTCTAATGGTGATGATCTAACAATGGTGCATTCGTAATTTCAATGTATAGAAAAAACGATCTCAATAATTCTATCATGATCCCCAACCGAAGCTCCTACCTTGACGTGGTGGTCGGGCTTGCCTATCGTGATGACCCAACCGAGTTATATTGGCTGGAACTTATGTTCCTGAAGGTTCTGCCATGCCAGGCAGGTCGACTGGAGAACGATGAGACTAAAAGCAGCTACTCAAGTTCTGAGGGCGAAGTCGTACTGCTCACTGTCATGGAGGGGTGTTCCAGCATCTGCAGCGATGCTGCCTTCTCACAAGGAAGGAAGGGTTAGAAAAGGTCGACCCTAAAAATGTCACACCTCCCCTACCTCACGGATTTCCGTCTCCGTCGGTAAGGGTGCCCACTAAGGGCTTTTAAGAGCGGAGCTAATACTCAAAAAACCTCTCATAAAAAGGCCGTGCGTGACCGGCCTCAAGCAGTTGTCCCTTGGACTCTGCGGTCACGCTCCCAGGTCTCTAAGACCAACACTAATCTATCTTCCTTTTCAGGTCCCTCAAGAAACAACCTTCCACGGTGTGAGCAGCCGGGAAGTGACAACCTCCCTCATACCCGTAACAGCTGACTGATTCTATCATGATAAATCGTTAAGCTTTAAACAACACTATTAACATATATATAATAGGCATTTAAAATCATCTTTGTAAAACTCAATATTAATCATCATAGCACCCATGTACTACTTACTTATTTACTTATTGTAAACATTGAACTAACATAAAAATCTTACGATCCGTTTATTTTGTTTATCTATTTATTTATTCACGTGTTGTTTGTATCTTTTTTTTTTTGTTAAGAAAAAACAGAAAGAAAATTATTAAACTAATCATACTATTGATTATGATGTGTCTTTTTTGATTTGTTCATTTAATTCCATTCAATGGAAGTCTTTATAAAGAAGAACAAACGATGGAGAGTATTTTTTTAAAAATTTATTGATTGGTTGATTGATTGATTGATCTATTATTATTATTATTATTATTATTATTATTAATTATTATTATTATTATTAATTATTATCTTATTTCCGCATAATTTATAGTTGACCTAATTTTGGAGAAATCAGTGAATTTATTATTACAAAAGAAAAAAGAAACAATCGAAGCTGTGAATTCGATCATTTTCAAAGAATCCTTGGTATGTCTGTCACATTACTTCTTATTTGTAGTTATATATTTAGCGAGAGAGAGAGAGATTCACACGAATTTTATCTGCTTGAAAGAGAGATCAGACTTTTTTTTTTTTAATTTTATGACTCAGAGGTTAAACTTATCATATTAGATGACCATCTTATTTCTTATATCATTTCATTAGTACCTAAGATAAGTAGTTATTCTTGTAGAGTTTATTTAAGTAATGCTTAGTAGCGACTAACAACTTTGTGAGGAAATTTTTGAAGTTTTAGTGAGAAACCGTGACTGGTTAGGGTTTAATCCTATCAGGTGTAGGTAATAACTGCTTGAGGCGATTGGCGAGGCTGCGCAAAACCTTGGATTAATCAAACCTAAGGAATTTGAGAAGAGTTAGTCGTGTGGAGATAAGAGAGGCACTAGGGGGTGTAGGAAGGATTTGATTTTGACCAATTTGGTCTCGTGTGCTGTTACGAGTATGAGGGAGGTTGTCACTTCCCGGCTGCCCACATCGTGGAAGGTTGTTTCTTGAGGAACCTGAAAAAGATGTTAGGTTAGTGTTGGTCTTAGAGACCTGAGAGCGTGACCGCAGAGTCCAAGGGACAACTGCTTGAGGCCGGTCACGCACGGCCTTTTTATGAAAGGTTTTTTGAGTATTAGCTCCGCCCTTAAAAGCCGTTAGTGGGCAGCCCTTACCGCCGGAGACGGAAATCCGTGAGGTAGGGTGAGGTGTGACATTTTTTAGGGTCGACCTTTTCTAACCCTTCCTTCCTTGTGAGAAGGCAGCATCGCTGTAGATGCTGGTTGTCCGAGGGAAACACCTTACTGCTGTCACACCCCTCTGCAGTCAGACATCAAACATTAACACTCATCTAGAGATTAAGATTTCGCGCGTAAAATCGAAGGTCCTGGGTTCGATGCCCTTCATGTGGGGATTGTGGATGCACTGTGCCCCACTGATGAGTTCCATACTAGGACTTGACAGCCGTCCAGTGTTTCGAGGTTTTCAATGGTGGTCTAACAATGATCGACTGGTAATTTAAGTATTTGAAGAATTTCTTAAGTAATTTTTCGCATACGCTTTTAATTATACACTAATTTATATTTCTTGTTTTGTTCATTTATCGAGGAATATAAATGTTTTATTATCAATGGAAACATTTATCTATGTAAACTTTTATTCATTGAAACACATAGAGGGTAGATATAGAGGATAGTAAAGTTTCTTGAAAAGAATCTGTTCTTTAAGGCTCACAGACACATCGCGTAGGTGTGATTTTGTGGAAGATTGTGAATCTTGATGTGCGCGTGTCGCGCGAGGGACAAGTATGCGTCACGTGCAAACACCATAGACACAAGTCTTCGCTCATATATATCATGGCATACGCATAGCCATACTTGCCCCGGGGGCAGTTGTATACTATATGTGCATTGTAACACATAAGTCTTCACTCATACATCCTTTGGTGTACACATATAGGTATATCTACCCATTGGGTGAGTAGATGGTTACTCCCCTTTCAGACTTATTCACTACCACAGATTCGTGTATGTGCTACATGCGAATCACTGGTACATAAACTTTCGTCTATGCACTTCATGACATACACATGTACAGGTACAAGCACTCTTGACGTAGGGAGCCTGATAATCACCTCTCTCCAGTGTTCTCTACTTATTGGATGCTTTCTATTCACATAATTTTTCATTTGTTTGTATTTACTATGTTTGTTATTGTTCATTAGGCCTCAGATTTTTTAGTATAAGCCAGACTTTCCAGCTTTCATTCCTTTGTTCGCCAGCCAGGGCGTGTACCCTTTGCATATACCCACATACACAATATACATAAGCCAAAACTCGTGCAATTCATATATTCATGCCCACGTATCAGGCAGTCCCTTAAAATTTTTTTAAGCCCCGAACAGTAGCCTCGAGTGATTGAGGTGCAGCAAAGTGAGTGTTCAGATCAATCCTTGGCAACCGCTAAAGTTAGCCTACAGAGTTTCCCTTAGCTTCACCTCAATGAGGCCATAGGTTGGGTTTGATTGCCGGATTTCTCATAACAAAACTATCAACTTATTGATTTAAACTATGTATTTATCTACAAAATACTGTCAAAATTAAGTTAGTAATAAATTTACCATGATGCTTTTGTTTCTGTATCTGTTATGCATCCACGTAAACAGGTCATGTGAGATATGCTTGAACTATTACGAGCTTACCTTAGTCAGTAAACGAAAGCGAGGATCCGGCGACACGACAGACTACTCTGATCCGACTGTCCCAAATCCCCATTGAGTAAAAGAAGAAGACTTGATATGAAGTAGAACCTGTATTCTACAAGCATCCAGAAAGTACGAGGTCCGAGTCCAGAAGAGAATTAGGATCCCGGACTAATGATCTGGGTCCGGGTCATAAAACGTTACATATACTGCGTATTTATACATTTAGGTTAAATAGGAAACAACATTGAAGTCTGTGACATTGACAGTTAGGACGGACGACCAATAGCAAACAGCATCTAAAGTGACATTGATAGTTCGGACGATTAATCAGAATTGACCAATAGAATTAGACTTACAAACAGTTATCTTAAGATATCCTAACCCTATCCTGACCATATTGATCACACATATCATCTGAATTGAATTCTTATTATCTTTTCTTTTCTTTTCTTCTAAATCATGTATAGCATAAATTAGAACCATATTTAGAAGATCGTTTATTGTTAGCTAATATGGCATTAGATTTGGAACGTGATATATTTACTGCCGAAAAAGAAATCTTTGCAGAAGTATCAACTTGTGATAAAATAGAAAATTGTATTGATATCTCTGATCGCGATGATCATAACAATAATAGTAATAACAATATTGAATCATCAAATGACCAATCTATATCAACTCATAAAATTAACAGCGATAAAAAACGTTTCAATAAACAATTCACACCTTCTATATTAAAACATTCCGTTTCATTACTTCCTTCACCATGGTGTAATCTATTAGGTCCACTAGCTTATTTACGTCCATTAAATTTTGATTCACAAGGTAATACAACCATTGCTGAAATTCAACTTCCATTAATTGATGATACCGAGTTGATCAAAAACAATCCTAGTAGTAATCATGCACCCCCACCAGAACCACCATCACATCAAACACAACAACAAATACAATCTCTTATTGATTCAACTACTACTACTACTACTAATAATAATAATAATAATAATAATAATACAACCATGTTCATCAATTCAACATCTCCATCAAATAATAATCCTCTACGCATAGAAAGTCATCATCATCATAATAATAGCAATTATGATGAAGATATTGTGAATGATGATGAATTATCAGATGAAGCAGAAGCTGATCGACTATTAGGTCTTGATAATTGTGGAAGTGTTGTCAGCAGTGGTAGTAGTCATCATCATCATCATCATAATAACAATAATAATAATAATGGTATTTCATCTTTACTGAATCGATCAAAAATGTTGGATAAATTCTCGAAAAATGGTCTCCTTGAAACTAGTAATAATCATAATCATAATAATAGTCATACTATTCAACAATCTATGGAGGAAAGTAATAAAAATCATTCAGAAGGTGTTGTTCATGATGATGAAGAAGTGGATGAAGAAGAAGTGGAAGGGGAAGAGGAAGAATTCGATGAAGCTTATGCATTTTGGCAAGAATTTATGCATGAAAAAAATATTAATCTTGAAGATATGCATACTGGTTTAATAGAGAATAATTTTGACAATGAATCAAATTCATTGGTAATTGTTTGTTTTGTTTTCTCATCGCATTTCACACGTACCTACCTATTGCTTCTTTTTTTGTAACAATGGATAAATTTTCAATATATATATATGTTAGTGATCTTCGACGCTTAACGAAAACTTGTGAAGAGTAGACTAGAGAAAACCAGTCTGGTTTTCGACCTGGACGTGATTGTATAGACCAAATTTTCACACTCAGACAGGTCCTGGAACATGGACACGCACACATTTAGGCGTCCGACAATAGTTGTTTTCCTGAACCTAAAAGCGGCATTTGACTCGGTGGATCATGAGGTTCTGTGGCAGTGTTTGTCATTGAAAGGTGTACCAAAGAATTACGTTAACCTTATACAAGCACTCTGCTCGAACAATACTGGTCGAGTGAGAGCTTGTGGCTAACTGTCACCGGAATTCTCTACATCAAATGGTGTACGTCAGGGCTGTCCACTCTCTCCATTCCTGTTTAACTTTGTCGTAGACATCCTGTTAGAGTTAACATTAAGCTCGTCAGATTTTTCAGGGGTTGACCTTCTACCAGGAAAGTCGCTTACTGATCTAGAATATGCCGATGACATAGTTCTATTCAGTGAAGACGCTGACAAAATGCAGAGTCTTCTGACTACCATAAGCAACAATGCGAGCATGTTCGGGATGCGGTTTTCCCCCTCGAAATGCAAAATGTTGCTTCAAGACTGGGTTGCATCGGCACCTGAACTAGTGATAGGGAGTGAAGTAGTCGAGCGTGTTGATAACTTCACTTATCTGGGGAGTCTCATCAGTGCTGACGGTCTGGTGACTGACGAAATCTCAGCTCGGATGCAGAAAGCTCGATTGGCCTTTGCCAACCTGCGTCACTTATGGCGTAGGCGAGATATCCGTTTGCTGACTAAAGGACGAGTGTATTGTGCAGTGGTTTGCTCCATCTTACTTTATGGCTGTGAAACATGGCCAGTGAGAGTAGAAGATATTCGTAGGTTACTGGTTTTCGATGATAGATGTCTTCGAAGCATTGCTCGTATATCGTGGGACACCCGAGTGAGCGACGCTGTTATTACGAAACGAGTGCTAGGTAAGAATGGCAGATCAGTAGACGAAGTAATGGAACTTTATCAGCTGAGGTGGTTGGGACATGTGTTGCGTATGCCTAACCACCGACTGCCTCGTCGAGCTTTGTTTTGTAGTGTAGGAATAGGTTGGAAGAAAGTTAGGGGCGGCCAAACCAAAACATGGCAGAAATCCATGAAGTCATTGAAAAGTGGACTTAGCCATGTCGGTAATTGTCGACTACCTGGTTGAGGTCCGCGAGATGATAATAATCGATGGCTAGAGACCTTGAATGACATGGCTCAAAACCGTTCGCCATGGCGGCGGTGCATTTATTCTTTGTGTTCTCTGAAATCCTAGTCTTCTGGGTTCTTCAACCCCTCTAGTTTTGACTTTCTAAACTTTTCTCACTGAATCATACTTCTTGAATAATATTCTTCTAATCCTAACCTCTCCGATTACTTCTAATACCTTAACTACCTCTACTAATATTGGATTTGAATTGACGATTACATCTCTGTGTTAATGTGGTATGGCAACATGAACTGATGTACGTACTTACGTACAAAGTTCTACATTGTATCTGACTAACTAACTGACCATTATCTTTTAACTATGTTCAAAAATTCTTTGTTTGCAGTATAGTTCATTCTTCTATGTTTTTGTAACTTTTTTTCAGGATGAACCACCTAATAAATCATTACGTTTACTTGACAATGGACAAACTAATAATAATAATCATAATAACAATCTATCCACAGTTCAACACTCAGAAGATCCTGATATCGATGCAGCTATTAGAAGTATTCTATCAACTACTGACTGATTGACTGACTAACTCACTAATTAATTGATTGATTGATTGATATGACAATCATGAATATATCTCTTTATTTTTTCTTTTCTTGTATATTATGTTAATATATTTTCAAAATATTTCATTAAAAACTATCATGTTTATTTATTCATTACTATTATTATTAGTATTACTAATATTATTATTATTATTACTATTGTTACTATGTATTGCATATACTAACTACCAATTTGTGTAAGCAACTAATCGAATTTTTTGTTAAAAAAAAAACAAATTTGTACATTACTGTATCATGTTACTCTTTGCCTGTGTACCAAGTAAATTCCCTTCCTTTTTATTTTTCCTCTCTCTCTCCCTTTCTTATTCTCTTTTTTGTAGTAAACACAAGCGTCGTTGAATAGGGTTTGTTTAATAAGATAAATCGTGTGCTCTTATTATTATTATGAATATTACCAATTAAAATCTTTCCTCGGGTTATTGTTTTGGAAAAAAATAAGTCTATTCTATTACATGGTCTATTTTTTTTGAGCCTACGTTTGATTGTGCCTTTCTTTGGCGGATCTATTCAACTTTCTCTTCAATTGCCCACCCTCCTACTCCTACTTCTTCTTCTTTGTCCTCCATCTTCATCTTCCCAACAAGATTGCCTTCCCCTCCCCCCAGCATTCTTATCTTTATTTTGTAATTTCTTGAATTTCTACTACGACCACTACTAACTACGACGACTACTACAAACATATCGTTACCAAATGACTAAATTCAAACAGTTAGTAGTATCTTCTCTGGTTTTTCTTTCTCTTAATTTGAATTAGACGTATTCCTGCTCCCAAAACACACAATTATGATGTTACCCCTTAATCTCTATTTGTTGTATAATGAAATTATTCAAGACGTAGATAAAGTTTCGTTATCATTTTCTCCTTGTCCCCTTGATCAACCAATCAATCAATCAGCCGACCCAATCACTCCCTCCCTCTATCTATGAAATATGTTTAAATGATGATGATGATGATGATGATCTATTGTGTCGGTGTTGTGATTGTGATTGTCGTCACCGTCGTCGTCACTGTCGTCTCCTTCGTTGTACAGTAATTTCTGATTTCTTTTATTTTCTCTAGGTGTAAATTTGTTTTCTTACTATTTTCTATTTTCTATTCCTTTGTATATTATGGGTCTCTTTGTGTGTGTGTGTACGTGCGTGTATGTGCGCGCACACACACAGTGTACTACTACAATGTGTATGTAATAATTGAAATGCGCTTTCTTTTTTGCTTTCGTGTTTTGTTTCGCCCGACAATTCTTTATATTATATATATATATATACAGACAGACACGAACACACACACACACATATATACAAGATTTGTTGAACTTGACGACTGTTATGGAAACTTTTTTTCTTTCTTATTCATTTTGCTAGTTTGAAATAAATATACAATAAATACATACATACGTATATATATAAATATTTATTTATTTATATTTTATATATATTTATAATTGAATTTACTAAAGGCTAATGTTGTCTGTTGCGTCGTAACATGATCATCAGCATTGATTATCTATCCATTATTAATATCTTTTTGGTCATGTTTGTGGTTTATAAAATTAATTACCCTTAGGCCGTCAACCAGCATTATTCTCTAACCTACTCCTATCCTAGGTCTTCATTTCCAGTTCTGTCCAATTGTTTGTTCATTCTTCTCATGTCTGTTTCCATTTCTCGGCGTAATGTGTTGTTTGGTCTTCCTCTTCTCCTTTGACCGTGAGGATTCCAAGTTAACGCTTGTCTTGCTTGTGACGCAGTTTGGTGCTTTACGCAATGTGTGTCCCACCCACTTTCGGCGCTTTTTCCTCTGCTGGAATCTGGTTTCTTTTTTCCCACAGTAGGTAGTTACTGATGCTGTCTGGCCAACGGGATCCTTAGTATCTTGCGTAGATAACCGTTAAGAAACTCGTGTATCTTGTGGATGATGGCCTTCGTAGTTTTCCAAGTTTCTGCCCCATTTGGATTGAAAATTGTGACTTTCGCGTTTGTTGACAGAAAGACTGCCCATGCATTCCCAATCGGTGCCTTCATATTTGCGTCTGATCCATCGTGCTCATTAGTGATACTGTCCCGATATGTAAAGGTTTCTACATCCTCCAGTGCTTCTTGACCAAGTTTGATTTGAATGGTGCATATTGTGTTGCATCTGAGAATCTCGCTTTTCCCTTTGTGTATGTTGAGACCTACAGCTGCTACACTGGTCGTTGTTGCATGTGCGACAAAAGAGCCAGATCATTTCCGAAGTCCAGATTGTCCATCTGCACTGTGGCTGTCCACTGTATTCCGTGCTTCCCCCCCCCAGGTGTTGACGTCTTCATAATCCAGTCCATCACCAGGAGAAAGAGGAAGGGTGAGAGTAAGCAACCTTGTCTGACACCGATCTTCACCTCGAACGAGTCTGTCAGTTGTTCTCTGTGCACGATTTTGCAGTGTAGTCCATCGTAGGAATTCCGTATGATGTTGACTATCCTTTCAGGCATGCCTTACTGTCGAAGAAGCCTCCGTAGTGTTGTACTGTCCACACTATCAAATGCTCTCTTGTAATCATTGAAGCTGGTTTATAGTAGTGAATACTATTCAACTGATTGTTCCACAATGATTCGTAGTATCGCATGCAAAGTGTTTGGTATATATGTTCGATATTTACGGAATCCAGCCGATTGGTTTCGAAGTTGTGCGTCCACTGAATCTTTCGTTCTGTTTAACACTTTCTTTGGCATTCTCATAAATTAGCTATTATTAATCAGTAACAGTTCTCATATTATTGTCAACATATTTAACAAGTAACTGTATTTCTCTATACCTAGTTAAAACTAATTCATAGATTGTATGCAGACAAGAATGTAGGCAAAAATTAGCCTTAACCGTCAAGCTAGTGATGATGTACAGCACTGTTTTCCTCCAATCGCCAAACGATGCTTATAATCAAAATCTGGACAAAAAATCTAGAACTAATAAAAGTCTTCCATTGTTAGTATTCTGAAGATAATATCACATCAAAATGAGAATTGTTGAATGTGTCGTTTTATCGTTCAATCTATTAGCTTCTTGTGCGTACTCTCAACTTCTTTCAGCACTGAGTTATTTCATAATCAACATCATTGATAGATAGTTTAGGCAATTTTTTTTTCAAAGTCTCAATCATCTTACGTTAGTTATAAAGGTCATCATCGATTTATGTGGTCAACTGATTACAACTCTAAACCAGTTGATTTAATGTAAAGAAAGATCTGTCTCTATTCACTTAAGATTGAGTATAACCATTGGTTTCACTCATGCTTACCATAATAACAGAGTACTTCAAAATTTAGTATATTAGATTATCGTTTTATATGAATTGTTATATATAACTCAATAAATATCTCTTGAAAATATAATTTGGTCACATAGAGGTTAAGATTATTGATCAGAACTGAACGGTTAGGGCGTTCGTGCACAATACCGAAGGTCCTGGGTTCGAATCCTGCGGGGTGCAGGAGTCGTGGATGCGCACTGCCACTGATGAGTCCCATACCAGGACGAAACGGCCGTCTTTCAGTGCTTCCAGGTTTCTAATGGTGGTCTAACATTGATCGATTCATGGTTTCAAAAGAAATTAATATTGTTTTTTTCTTTTCGATAATTCGTGAACTGTAGCCGGTTATCAAAAAGTTCAGCTCGTTTGTAGATTTACTTCAGTTTTAATGCAACAATAGCCAAATATGAAGTGCCATATTTATTTATTTGTGCGAGTTAATGATACCACTTGTTTAGTTGGGAAGAAATACGTTTTTTCGTGTTCTTTAAAATGTAACCAAATCATTAGCGTAGCTCAGAATTTTAGATAATAATTAAATTTACTCATTTTGACTTGGTAACATCAACCTAATCACATTCTCATAAAAATGATTTCGGTCCAAAAAACGGGCTAGTCGCATCCTGGATAGCCGCCTAGTGGTAACGTCTTTGACTGTGAAGCCGGATGGTATGAGTTTGAATCCGCCAGAGAGCACTAGTCCCTTTAATATTACAGGTTCACCTTGCTGACGAATGCCGAATAGCATGAAACTTCGATCCATGGTTTCCCATCCACTACCTTAAACCACCGTCTTATATCTCAACACAATATCAAGTCACCTAGATTAGTGATCACATTACAACTTGATTGATAAAATACAATCATCATTCAAAAGGATCTGATACATATGATATGTTGGTCAGTCTATCGATCAACCGTAAAAACAACAAACTGCATCTATCAATTACTTTTATTCTACTTATAAGTAGTTTTAAAATTTTCTCTTCAAAATTTAATCCGCCAATTTTGTTTATATCTTATTAGGTTATAGTATTGTCGAAAAAAACAATGGATTTACTGGACTCTTGGTTGGATAAATTGGAAATTGAACATAATAATCGACTCAATAATAATAATCATAATAATAGATCTTTAATTGAATATCGTCTCAATTCATGGTTAAATCAGATAATCGATCATCCAACAATAAATAAAATTGTTTGTATTACATCCGGTGGTACTATTGTTCCATTGGAAACAAATATGGTAAGATATATTGATAATTTTAGGTAAGTTAATTGTTTAAATGAAATAGTTTTTTTTTTACAATTGTCGATATTTATTTGTCTCATTATTTGTTTGTTTACGCTACTTTCGTAGATAGTAATGCTTGCTTTAATTGTATGTAAATGATATAGGAATTTGGATTCTTGAGTCCTCCTCAGTGTGTGTGAATGTCAATAATTGCATTCAAATACATTCAGTTGGTAGAATACCATGTAGGATGGGACATTAATCTTGGATTTTAATACTAATTATATTATTCAAAATAAACTAAGATCTATATACATACAGACAGACAGATACAACGCAGAACTTCGTATGTAAGTACATCAGTTCAGGTTGCCATGCCCCATCAGCACAGAGACACAACTGTCAGTTCAAATCCAAGAGTGATAGTGATATTAGGAGGATTAGCAGTAATGGAGAAGATTAGGGA